TCTTTAATAAACCTGTGCCTGAAGTTTATCTCAGTCTTTTTTTTTTTTTTCTATTAAGGAAACACATCCATTAGTAAATATGTAGATGTAAAAATGATCTTCCTCTTTACTTCTCCATTGTGATATATCTTGGAATTGTTGAGAAATGCACTCTATTGTTAAAGCTATTTGTGCCGGGTGTGCTAATGCACTCTTTGATTGAGTGAATTAGCAGTCATAACAATCTGGCAGTCTGGCCATAGAAGTGTGCTCAAATTGATTTGTGTTATGGCTGGACTGGAAAATCTAGTGTTAGTTGTTTTTTGCCCTGGGGCATTGTTTGTACCAAACTCCACTTTTCATTTAATTTTCCAATACATTTTGAAAGATTGCAATGCTTGTGATCAACATTTGATCTACTTGCATTATTTTAAAAAAAAATTCAGAAAGTAATTTCAGATTCCAAAAAAACCTTGCTTTCAATTAGAGTAAACATAATTAGAGTGATGTCGTGCTCTGAATGGTAAATCTCCCTTTGAATCTATTAAGCATTTTATCTCCTTGTCCTGTCACTGAAAGGAATTCAGTCTATATCTGGAGTATACATTTGTATACATTTTTTGTGTGCATGCTTTCACGACAACTTGAAAAAATTAAAATAATAAAATTGTAATGAATCTCTTCTTCCTGTGCTTTCTGCATCTGCCAAATTATTGCTGTTTCCCTCTGTCAATCTATAAAAAGAGGATACTCAAAAGCTATTATGAAAAATTAAGGTATTCAAGAAACATATTCAAATATGCCTTGACTTTAAGTCACTGTTATTTTAGGTTTTTTAATGCTATGAAATATGCATTTTCTTTTTTCTAAATAACTGTATCAATTGCTGTACTGAAATTGTGAGGATTTCAAGACATGACTTATCCTGGCTTTGTCAATATTTGTATCTTTCTTACAATCTTCTGCTTTGCAGTCCTTTACCAGAATTATAATGCAGCATGAATAAACCTAAAAAATGACTATTGATTAAAGAGAAAGCTTTATGAAATCATTTAGTCAGTTTCCCCACTTGAGAAATCAGTGAATAAAATAGGTCAATAGATAAGAATGGAATGGATGTAATACAGAGCTAGGCTTCCCTGGGTTATAAAAAGGGTCAAAAATAAATCCCTGTAGAATTCATGTTTTCATACTCGTAAAATAAAATGATACTTACCAAATCCCAACTCTAAGTCCATCTTTCTACAGATTTATTCTTCTTTAGACCACAGGTTTTGAAAGTATGTTTTTATGTGTCCCTGTTTCATTTCCTGGTCACTGCCCCTTTTAACCAAATAGGATGCCCTCATCATCAGGCTAAAGTCACTGTTGTCATCCAGGTATTCACCAGGACTTTAGCTGCAACAGCTACTATGTTTTTTTTTCTTACAGTCTCCTGCAACCTTACAGCTCTCCTCAGAACTGCATTTCATACTGCATTGAACTCTGTATCCTGTGCTGATTTTTGTTAAGTAATAGATGGTGAGACCTGAGACCACTCTCTCTTAGTTCCCATTCGTTCGGATCTCTTATGGGTGGTGGGGTGGTGAGGAGGAGGGAGAAGGGAGGGGAGGGGCCAGAAGGGGGCAGAGGGAGGGAAGAAAATACCTTCCCTGAACTGGTACAAGCTAAGCTTCAAACGATATCCTAGGAAAGAAATTAAAGACTTCTTAATTAGTGCAGCAATTAAGCTTTCTTGGTAGCATTTTAATCAGCACAGGCCCTATCAAAGGACAAACAGAACGATTTGCAGGTCTTTGAATTTTAAACAGTCTTATTGATTTCAGCACAATACGTTTTCACAAAACACAGGGAGAATTTTCTAATATCAGTTACAGTACTTTGAGTTTTGCCTATGCAAATTGAGTGAAGATTGGGGAAGATGAGATGGAGGGAGAGGACTGAAACTAGCAGAGATATAAAACAATAAACAAGCAAGACAAAAGCTCTGAAAGCTAAAGATGCAATGGAGTGAGAATTTGAAATCTCAGGTTGATTTATCTGCTGTTATTAAATACTGTTTGCCTCAATCATAGGCAATATTTCTCAAAAATAAAAACTAAAGAAAATAGAAAAGAGAGAAAGAGAAAGCAAAGTGAGAAAGAAAAAAAGAAAGAAATCTTAAAATGATTTCAAGGCTTTTTTAGTCTACCTATTTTAATTTGGCTATGCACCTTTTCTAATCCTATTGTTTGATCCACGGGGGAAGTGGTGGTTCCTTGAAACCATTTAGAGACCTGAAGTGGGCGGCAGGGGAGATTCCAGCTAGGGGCAAATGCCCCCAAGTCCAGCTTCTGAGAAGAGCACAGGTTTCTCTGCAGTAGGAAATTTGGAGTTTGCTTAGAAGCAGAGTGGGATTACAGCTTGGCGTGCTATCATTACTTCCTGTCTGTAGTTTCCGATTGTGGCAGGCACTGAGTGAGTGATAGTTTAAGGAAATGTGAGAAATGAGAGAATGGTGAGGGCAGATGCTTGGCATTTAATTCCCATTGTTTTCCATTTTGTGGGTCTAGAACTTAAAGTGATAGAACTATAGTTTATATTTTAAAGACATATGAGAATTTATTCATGTTAGTCACCTAAGTCCAACTAAAATTAGTTTTTTTCCAGGGTTTAATACTTTCTTCCTACCCTCCCCTTTTTAAGAAAGTAATTTGGCATTTTTTAAAGACGGTCATACTTTCTAAAATAAGCATGAACATGTAAAGAAGTGTATTGACGTACATGATATGTATTCAATCCCTCCTTTTAATTGAGGACAGATTTGGAGACTAACACACTAATTAAAATTATTTCCAACTACATTAAAATACATTGCTTTCACAAGGCTAAACAACTATGTAAACTTTACCTATTTTTGCAGAAGTTTGTCTGCATTTCTGCAACAATTTTCCGAATTCTTATAACAACCCAGGAAAACTTCTTGATATTATTGCTCTGACCTTAAAAAGTTTAGCCTCAACTTAGCCTAATTAGTCAGTAGTGTCATATTTCCCTGTACATAGTTCCTGCACCTTTTGACACTATATTTAAAAGAGTTCAAGGATTAACATGATAAAGAGAAATGTGATAATGATTTCAGCACCAAAATGGCAAAAATTTCATTAGGAAATTTTCCAACAATGTGAAGCTGTTCCTCATAGTTTATTTTTAAAATCTGTCCAATGCAAAAACATTGTTTCCTATCTTGTGAAGTTAGTGAACATGTGCAGGCAGGTTCCAGAGCTAAATTAAGATTCTGAGATATAAGCAGTAAACAAACGTGACCTATGTTCACATCACATGTTGGTCAAAAACCTTGAATAAATACCTCCATGCAACAAGTTAGAGAAAAGGAAGAGAAGGAGAAAGGAAAGGAAGGAGGAAGGGTTAGTCTCAAGTTGAGGCCAATGTTGTTTTAAGCACACCTACCCATTTTGCCTTTGCAGTCAATTAGTAAGCTTTGCTTTTGTGCTGCTCATTGTTTACAAAACTATATTTTTACTGTCACGCTGAAAGGGATTTCCCCAATATATTGTGGTACTTTTCAAATATGAAAAAAATAACTATTGTGTTACACCACATGAGTAACTAGCCTGGGGTCTTAAAGGATATGATAGTCGGTTACTGCGCAAGACAGGTGAATTAATTACACAGTTTGGGCTAAGAAAAATCAGTGTCTTCTCTTATCCCCTTTCTAAACCCTTCCGAGGTGCCTTATCTCTTCGACTTCTCTACATGGAACAGGCATTTCTGACTGTCTTTGGGGCGAAAGTGAAGTTATTCCAGACCGTCCACATCGTGGAAGCATTTCTTTCCACAATCTAGCAGGAAATCGGAAATTGAACGCAGAATTATTCCATTATTCTTAAGCGATTTCGGACTGCCTGCCTTCCCAGAACTTGAAAACCGTCCTAGAATTTTCACTATCTTTACATCGATAAATAATTTAATAGAAAAATAAAAACAACCAGATGAATAAAAACATTACGTTTTGCTTACATGTGAGTTTTTCCTCAAAATAATTTCTTAACAATCATGAAGTGGAAATGGAATATGTTTTCATTTATATCTCATTGCAAAAACGCGAGGAGCTATATCCTAAATCCTTGAAGGAGAGCTCGGAGCGTTCGGGCTGCTCTTTAAGTTAGCTGACGATTGTTTAGAAGCTTTTGGAAAAAATTACGAGTCGTCGCGGACGAGACGGAGTATTAGACATGCAATCTAACGGGAGTGGTAGAAGAGAAGTAGACGGTCTCTCTCTCCTGTTCCGATCGCCACTTCTGTGTCCCCGGCTTTTCCTCTCCGTCCCTCCCACAGTTTCTTTCCGTACCCTCCCCCTCCCCTCCTCCTTTCCTGCACGCTCGCTCTCTCTCTCCTCCTGTGTCTCGCGCTCTCCGAGTCTCTGCTCCGAGTTCCTGGTTGGATAATTTGGGTTAATACTAGTGAGTGAGGTTTTTGCGGCTTCAAAGGGTATTTCAAGTTTCCGGAGCTCCTCCCCTCTGCACCGTGTGACAACAACAACTCGTCCAGACGGCAGCCTGCACTTTTCAGCTCATTTTCTCTCTGTCATTCCCCTCTCAATCTTTGATCAATGTACTTGCCAGGGAGAACCCAAGTCCTTCAAGCCTCCTCCTTTTCACCTTCATCCTTAACTTTGTGCTAGAGCAGAACCCACACAACAGCCGACCCTCCCCGCCCCCGCCCCCCTCCAAACCAGCCCTCGATCCCAGCCCCCGGAGAGGACTCGCATTTCGACTTGCGGGACACTTTTGTGCGTTTCTCTCCAGAGCGCCTCTCGCGCTCGCCCCTCCTGCGCTCGCTCGCTGTTACTTTCACCTCCCTCTCCCCCGTCTCTCCCTTTCTCCTTCTCGTTCTCTCCTAGAGTTGTTGTTGTTGCCCTCATCGCTCCTGCTCCCCCCTTTCCCCCCTTCCCCTCCCGGGGGTGTGTGGCAACTTTTTTCCCTGGCTTCTCCACCTTCAGTTTCCCCTTATATGTGACCATGGCAGTGCCGGCGGCTTTGATCCCTCCGACCCAGCTGGTTCCCCCTCAACCCCCGATCTCCACGTCTGCTTCCTCCTCTGGCACCACCACCTCCACCTCTTCGGCGACTTCGTCTCCGGCTCCGTCCCTCGGACCCCCGGTGTCCTCCGGGCCAACTCTGTTCCGGCCGGAGCCCATCGCTTCG